CTGGGACAGAAGTTTCATAAACTGGTTTGATCTAAATCCGTTAAGTGTGAGACTAGCTCCAGCCATGTTTATCTTAAACCACTTTCAGCCATTTTGACACTGGTTTGTGTGCACTCAACTTCTATTCTGTTTCAGGTTTAAACCAGTTTCTGATCACTTAAACTGGTTTATGTGTAACTTCTGCCCCTAGTGCTAGTGGGACCAAGGTTTCTCTCTCAAATATGAAGACACTTCTTTAAGAATAACAATATAATTATCAGATACCTACTTAATTCACAGTGAGACAAAGTAATGTTTATGTCTTGGTTGCAGCACAAAGGACTGATTTTACTGGCATTTCCTGGTGGCCCTGCCTCTTTCTGCTGATTGGCAGAGAGGTCCTGGGGAGGGAGAGAAGGGATATGGGGGCAATTGCCATCTTGGCTGCTGGCTGCCCTGCGTGTGACCCCACCCTTGGTGCCTGATTGGTGGAGAGGCTCCCAGGAGGAAGAGGGATGAGAGGGTGGCTGCCATCTTGGCTGCTGTGACTGCCCTTTGTGCGGCTCTTCCCCTTGTGGGCGGGCTGCAAGATGGCAAGCATTTTATTTTTATTAATTTTTTTTTTAAGTTGATATTGTGGACAGTCGTGGATTTTGCCATTTCCTCAAAAGCTGCAAAATCGTGAATTAAGTAGGTCCCTAATAATCATCAGTCAGTGTTTAGGTCTGGCTCTTCAGTGGTGCCTGTAATACTACATGCCCTCGGTGAGAGGAGAAGATGGTGAGATGGTTGTTACTCTTGCAGAAAGTTTGTAAACTGCGGTATTGTACCAAGAGTTAACCTTTGACAATTTGCCAAAAGTAGACCTTTTTCTTATGCTATAGCTTTTGGGAAGTTGAAAATCGGCTTTATAATAGATATCATTTTAATTGTAGAGAAACGATACACTTTTGATAATGCATTTTATATGAAAATTGCTCCAACTTAGTGGATTTTTCTGTTAAGTAAGTTAAGAAACACAATTTTGTTTGTTTTAACGACAGATGATTTTGTACATTAGTTATCATTTTGTTAGCCATGCTGAAGGAGAGGATTTTTTTTAAAGCAAAGACAATCACTTGATACTTTATTCCGTTCTTTGCTTCAAGTTGCTCGTTCCCTAGTTAGAATTTGTCTAACAGTGTCACCAATACCATCTTCAGTACGTAGTTCATGTTCTACTTTGCCTATTATAGGTATGTTAGAAAATGAGTTCAGTTCAACTTGGGAGATTCATATGAACAAGTTTTCTTACCTGTGGTGTTTGCATTGCTGGATCACAGCTTCTGCAGTGGGCTTCTGTGCAATTTGAGAACTGGCCAGACCAGATAATGGGAGAATGCCAGTTTTTCCTTTGCTACTTTTTTCCACAAGACTTATTTTTAATTGTTGATTATCAGACCAGGAACATCACCACTGTGCACATTTTGTGTTCAGCTGATTTCAGATACCCGAACATTTTCCACAAAGTCAACTGAAGTTTACACACCAGAAACCACATGAGAGCACCCACAAATGTTAGCTCTCAAAATATGGATTCCGTGAATAGTTCAGATCTTGCAGCTCTTCTTTTCTTAATCTCCTGCCAGGACCTTTCCTTGAAGGAAAGCATCATTTTTCAGCAGTACCAAATTTTTGATGCTCTGCTCTACTTTTTTCCCCCCCCATAGTAAGGCAAAAATGCTGTGTTTTAATAAACTTAATATTCACTTCACTGGGCACCATTCAGGCCACAAGAAATTCTTTCTGAGAGTACAGGGAGGGACCATTGCTGCAATTTTAATTTTTTTTTGCTACTGAAACAAATGGCATAACTACATTTCCTGTCCTCAGAAGAAAGAACTGTGCAAAAGACTATTTGGTGCTAGGAAATATTTATCACCAACAGTTATTTTTCATAATGACTGTTTACTTGACTTATCCCTTTTGTCTTATGCTTTTGAAAAAAATACTCTTAGATAGTATCTGTATTCATCAAGCAGATTACAGCATTTAGTTGAACGTGCCCACATTATGACTGTTGACTAGTCGTAGTCCCGCTGGTCTACAAGTCTTTCAGCAGGTCCACGTACTCTGTCCTACTGTAGTTGGTAAATCACTTGTGTGCCTTGAAGATGGATATTTTTTTCATCTTGACTAGTGTAATTGCACCACTATTCTCAGTGACACAAGCAGTTGACTTTCACTCTTTTTTTTTTTCTCCCATCTGGGTAAGAAACCCTGCCTTGTGGGAGAATTTTTTTCCTTGTCCATTGTGGCTCAGGAAGACCTTCCTTTCATGTCTTGTCAGGCACTTGCTTTTGCTGAATTTCTGGTCAGCTTGGAATGGTAGGACAACGGTGAACAAAACGCTCCAAAGACTTTTGTGTGTGTACAGCTTTCCTTTATATAAAAAAAAAAAAAAAAAAAAAAAAAAAAAAAAAAAAAAAAGTAAAATGTGGTTTCACTTCATTTTACTTAATTTTGGGCCATGGTGGTTTGACAGCTTCTCACCACACACACGTCCTGAGAACAAGATGTGTACAGAGTGAAACTCCCGACCAAATAGCATTGTCATACTGTATGGTTACTATACTACATCTCCCATTTTTTCCCTGAACTTGCTTAATGACTTCATGATATGACTTCAGTTTCAGTCTGCTATCTTTCTAAAATCTAATAATTACTTTTGACCAACCTCGGATTTAGTTATGTTTAGTTAAAATAAGTCTGCTACGTATGTCATTACTTGAACTAAAAATCTGCCTAAAATATAACCAGCGTGCTTAATTTCACACAGACCTTCAGGTCGGAGGCCAGCTGTCCCACGGTCGGTTAAATAAACACTGAATTTTAATTTTTCTCCCTCAAATCCAAATATTTTTTACGATACAAGACAGCCGTGTCAAGCACAATGAATTGCCTACACATTTGTTGCAACCAAGCTTTACTGTTGCCAAAAATCTCAGTAGATGTAAGGAAGGGAGTTGCATGAAAATAACTGCAGAGGTTCAAGTGAATGTTCAAGGTTAGCAGATGTTTTGGACCCTTCATGCCTACTTCTGGCTCTGGAGAGTTTGCTGAGAAATGGGAATTGTCCCGTATGCTGAATTTAATATAGTCATTGACTTAGGGGCCTTCCTGGAAAAGGAATGGTCTCCCAACTTGAGGTTGTCTCCTGGAACTTGAATCTTATGCCAGGTAAGAATTTTGCTGGTGGTAGATCCGTGTCTTAAGATGCTTCCAGGATTCATAGGTCACTGTAGGTGTCTTGTTATGGTGTAACAAAGTGTTAAATGATTCCCTGCCACACCGCTGCATTTCTCCTGCCCCATAAAACAGGCATCCTACATCCCTGTAGTCCAGTGGGGAGACAGGCTCCCAAAAATCTGATGGGTGGCATGACACAATTTTTGCATAACCAGTTTCTTTCCTGTTTCCCATTCCTTTATTTTGTTGGGTTGCTGTTTATATTCCATAAGTATCTGAGGCCCGTTCTCTCTGAGATTGCTTCTGATGAATGCGAGGTGGAATGCAGACCTGAGAGAGGGGAGCGTAGGGGCACTGTGAGCACTTCCATGCTTGATGGCATGGTGAACACAGATGGGATTTGGTGCCGAAATGCCATACGCATTATGTAGCACCGAGCAGGATAGAGCTGTGAAGGGCATAAGATCAATACTTGTGAGCAAACGGAGAATTGCAGAGTAATACAACTTTTGTTAGATGGCATGTGTTTCACTTCACTATCTTTTTTTGAAAGTCTGCTCTGCCATTTTGTATCTCAGACAAATCCCTACTATAGTCCTAAGGAGACATAATCAAATTTAATGGCATTTTAATGTCAGTTACAGTTTATCCTAATAATGTCACCCATGACCTAATAATCAAAGAGGTGGTGCAGTGCATGATATCAAGGCCTACTCCAAGGTAGTTCTTCTGAGAGACCTTTTGTGCCAGGCAGGGGGAGAGTTCAAAAAGGAAGTGAAAATAGCATTGCAGGGTGTACTCCTAAAATAGCTGTTTTCTCTGCAGTAGGAATTCACCATGGTCCCAAAGTGTTATTCACACAGTGATGCTGTGCAAAAAAACACTGACCTCATTGTAGAAGTTGTTAAAATCAGTTATGTTACTTTCAGCTCCAGAGAAACAAAGGGGGGGTAGGGGGAACCCAGAACTGTTTAAAAACTTTGGATTGTGTGTTGCTGATGACATTTTAGAAACAGGCAGAAGTCTCTGAGGATAATCTCCTGCATAGAAATGTGAGCCAGAACTGTAGTTTTACTAGTTAAAAGCAGATATAAGTCAGAAAATCATCCAGACTTTTTTTGGGGGGGGTTTAACGCACAGTTTTGTGGTTTTATTTAAACCTTGCATTCTTAGCTGTACTTGATTATTTAAAATATATTAGTCTGTAGGGACAGATTTCTAAACTTTAGAAACTTAACTTTACAAGCTGCCACTTTGAACTAGCAGTCAAATAATTTTCTTGGTTTTTCAGCTCAAGAATTCAGCAAAAGAATTAGTATTATTTTGTTTCCCAAGCTGTGTGTTCTTTGCACTCTGAAAAAATGTCTAGGTGCCCTTATCTTCTTGTAGCTTACTGTAAAATTAGAGTGGGATTTCTTAGAGTTCAGTTCAACGTCCATGTTTCCACTTCTGGTGGCCTCAGAGATGCAATTAATAACATAATACTTAGCTGTTTTACTGCTCATGTCATTCCTGAGTTTGTTCTTCCAAATCAAAATGTACACAGATAGTTGAAATGTGTTTGGGAATTTATGCTTTATATTTAACTGTGCGTTCCAGGGATGCTGCTGATGAGGTTTTGAATCTGACTGATTTAGATTGCTATCCTATTATGGCTGATTCCTCATCTGAAAACTTAAGGGTGGCACAACACTTTCTTTTAAAATCATAGCTGAACATATCTGATCATTTATATATATCTCCCAAAGTGTTAAAAATATGTCTGATATATTAGGGGTTTTGTGCTTTTACAGGTGAGTTGTGTAACCTTGCAACGCTGGATGTAGCGCACAATCAGCTTGAACATCTTCCAGAGGAGATTGGGAATTGCACGCAGATCACCAAACTTGACTTGCAGCACAATGAACTCTTGGACCTGCCAGAAACTATAGGTATGTGTTAAGGAGTTTGGGAGGGGGAAAATGCTTGTTTCCTAATATTTAAGGCATTGACCACTAAAAACAGTATATCTAAGAATGAATTTCATGTAGCCTATAACGACAGAAGGCACAAGTGCCCTGTTCAATGCATTTTCATTATCAAAAGCTCCAAGTGACAAACAAATGGGAAATAATATTAAAGCCATCTCTAATGACCCTGGGGAGTATCTTCTTACCAGGCGGAGGGAGGATGGGTAGGTTCCTGTCCTTGGTTTTTTTGTGATTTAGGCATGTTAAGAATAGGAAGAATGCATATTACAAAAGTAGATGTCTTAGCTTTTCCAGGGATTTGAGCAGGCTGGAGTAGGTTTGTAGTTAACGACTTAGATGCCTAAAAGCCACTTAGTGCATGTCCAGACAAGTGTGGATGTTTGGTTCCCTGGGAACAACTAGCAGTGGTGTACCTTGCACCTCTGCTACTTGTCCCCAGGGAATGCCTGTGCCACATGTGCTTTGGCACACGGTAAGTTACCCCAGGTGGGATGGGGGGCTGAGGCCAGCACTGGGCTGGCCCCAGCAGCCTTACCTGGGGTCCTGGGGGCCTCCCGGGGCTGCATCAGTGGTGGTTCTGCCCTGCGGAGCCTGGTCAGCAGCTGCAGTGCAACTCTGGGTGGCCTAGCGCTGCTTTTCAGCAGTGTGTGCTGCTTGTGTGTGCGCTGCTCCACCTTTTTTTTCCACCCCCCATGGTTGGTTTGTTGTTGGGTTTTTTTTGTTTTTTTTGTTTTTTTTTGACTCCATGATATCCAAAAGTACTTTAAGACCATGAATAGTTCAGCTGAAATGAACAAAGTTAGGTACCATGCCTCAGTGTTTCGCTGAGGAGAAGACAGGAAAATGAGGATGGATAGAACATGTGCCTACAGCGAGACTTGTAGGCTATGGAATAATCCCTCAAGTGAGAGGGTGGAAACCTCGTAGCGTGAACCTTGTATAGTTCATCTAGGAAAAGAACCAGAAAGTATATTGTGTGAAACAATCTTGCTTTGATACAGAATGGAGAAAGTTTCATCCCCTTAACTTAAACTGTATTGTCATCCTTATTGCAGTGCACAAATGGCTTGTTCTGCCTGAGTTTGGAATGAATCCTAGCTGACTTAAGTTGAACCAAAATGAGTGCAGGCATTACTCTTGTTTTAACTAAGCTGCTTAGGTTTATCTCTCTTTTTTTAAGCATTTCTTTGCTTGTTTCTCGAACTTTGCCTTCTGGGTTTTTCCACTTTTTACAAGAAAATATTCTTTTAATTATCATCCTCAGTAAATTTAAAGTTCTACGGTCTGTATAAAATCTTTCGACTGATGCATATCAATTCCAGAAGGCAGTCTTAGATGTTTTTAAAAATCATCTTTTGACATAGTCTTCACTGAAATTTCTCATTTCAATTTTTTGGGTGATTTTTCCGGCGTTTGGAATAAGGCTTATCTCTAGAACAAGCACAAGTAAAGGGATCTCTTCATTCTTTCTTTAGCCTTTACTATGTTTACTATAAAGAATGACTACTGAGTGGAGCTGTATTTGAGATGCACTTCATTATGCCTTTACCAGCCAGATGGAAACTCTTTGTAATGGTTATAGGTGGCTTATCTAGAGAACTATGAAAAAAAATTGCTCCAATTAAATGGAGCTGTGATAATTAATATTGGCACTGGTCCCCCAACTGCCAAATTTCCAGACCTGTATGGATCTATATTTCTGTCATACGTGTACATCCTAATTTCTACCAGTTGGTTTCTGGGGGTCGGCGGCGGGGGTGCATTATACAGGAACTGCACATTTGGTGGCCTCTCTCTAGCTATTTTGGGGGGTTTATAGTTTCTGGTGGGCTTAGGCCCGCCATCGTTGTGTAACAGAGACCTGTCTCACTTGGGGATAGTGTGGATGCTCAAGGGGAAGGTAAACAGGGCATGTCTCCCTCCTCCCCACTCCTGCTCCTCTTCCATTGCAGCTTCCAGCATTCGGAGGCATAAGACCTTCTGTTTTACATGTTGTTCTGTCATGTTCAATACTTCCTGAACTGACAATTCAGTTGAAATAATTTGGAGACTTGTAAATCGTGATACTGAAAACTTAGGGTCACCTTTATAATATTGCTATCAGTAAATCAACTCTTAGCAGGTAGAGACAGTTTGTCTTTGCATTTTTGTGATATTTTGTTTTCTAGCAGCATTGCTTTAAAGCTTTTCAAGACATGCTGGTAGCCCTTCCATGGCCCTGCCCACCCCAAACATACAGCTATACCCACGCTGTGCTTATCTGAACAGAACATCACTGCTTTGCATTTCAACAAACCACCGAAGTCAGATTATAGTTTTGAGCTGCTGGAAAACATCTCTCTTTCTTATCGGGCAGTATCAATTATATTTGAGCATTTCTGTTAGAAGATGTATGTAATTCAGAATGCAGTATGTGTACCATATGAACTATAGTTCACAAGCAATCGGAACTTAAATACTTGGAAGAAAATAAATTCCAGCAATTGATAATGATCAACCTACATTCTGCACGTTGCACAGAGTCGGTCGCAGCTAGTTCAGCAGCGTTGGCACAGTTCTTAGTCATCAGATTGGTTCAACATTAAAGCGAGTTGTGGCTTGATTTTTAGATTACAGCTTATTTAGTTGCTAGAATTATTCAGTAAGGTAACTTCAGCACCAAGATTAATAAACTGGGTGAATCACTTTGACCTGGGAGTCCAAAATCTGGTTAGCATTATTTCAGGCTTCTGTGTTTATTAATAAAGCTGGAGAACTTTCTTTCCGACTTTTGCATATTTCTTCTTTCACTAGTCCCTTTCTCTCTCTTTTTTTCTTTTCTCTCTTCACTTTGACATCCACTTGATGCAAGCCACGATGAGTGTTTCTTGCAACATGCACGTATTGCCAAGTTCCAGCTTGTTTGGTGTATGAGCACTGTTGAAGTTTCACTGATTCAGTCAAACTTAGTCTACAACCCCCCCGCCACCCCGACCAAACACATCTGCTGATCATAAACACAGTGTTTAATTTAGCATTGATCTATTATAGAAAGTATTGTTTGACTTGTCACTTTTGCTAGACCTGTCTTTAATTTCCTCAGAACAGCTTGATGTGAAATCCTGTTTTGCTTATAAAAGGAACTTTTGTCAGGTTTTGTTTTTACATGTTGGTTTGTTCTCTCATAAATAGATGCTCACTACCCAGTTAGCATACTGCACCTGGTTTTATCATGGACGGCTTTCCTGGTGACCTACAAGGTATTTAAATAGTAAGAGAAAGTTTTATGTAGTGGTAGAACTGTGCTGGAGTAGCGAGTCCTTGAAGGGAAAGGATCTTGCTGTATTGCTGGGTTATGGGAGTGGTAGGGAAGGGCCTGTGTACCAGCAGTGATTAAAGAGGTAACAAAGCCAGTTTATTCATGGTGTAGCAGCCTGTGATTCTTGTTTCAAGAAACATGTCTAAGTTTCTTTTAATCACAGGCTTTCATACAGTAACAAATGGCAATTTAGATATTACTTGTCAGGAAGTGAGCTAATGTCTTGCTTTGTAGATATTGAGTTAGTGTTTTCATATCAGTATTTTTGTTGATTGAAAATAGTAGAGTACTTTTATATATTAGATCACTTCCTGTAAGAAAAATATGCTTTGTGAAACAACATAACGTTCCAAGCGCCATAAAGCAAAAGAGTGAATTTTTAGGCTCAAAATTAAAGTCACAATACAATAGGTTCTTAGTGTTTCCGAGTTTCTTTTGAAGAAATATTTTTATTTCTGATGAAAAGGTTGAGAAAAATAAGCTTTTAATTACTTTTAATTTATATATTTTTTTTAACAGATACAATTGATATGGCTATCTTGCCCATTCCTGGAGGTACCTAAATTAAGTAAAGAAAAAAACATTTTATTTTAAAATTCATGATTTATTTGACCTTTGAGAAACAGAGCAAAGCTTTTATATATAAATAAATTAGCCATCTGATTGCAAGATAGTTTAAAATAGTGTCCTTAAAAAGTACATTAAATTTATCTACCCTTGAAAAGATAAGTAAATCCATTTCTAACTAGAGATCTGTTTGCAGACTTCTTATTTTTTTAGTGTATTAAAATAATATGAAAGAGAAATCGAATAGGTAACATTAAAATTTGGGAAAGAAATTCAAAATGCATTTTTTTTAAAGTAACAAGCCTATTTCATCATTTTCCAGTTGTTTATGTATAGATATGATCAAGCTATACATAATCAAATGGGACCAGCTAGCTAAGCAGCAGTGCTGCAGAAAAGGACCTGGGGTTACAGTGGACAGTAAGCTGAATAGCAGCCAGCAGTGTGCGCTTACTGTGGAAAAAGGCTAACAGCATCCTGGGCTGCATTGGTAGGTTTGTTGCCAGCAGATTAAGGGAAGCAATTATTCCTTTTTTCTGTACTGGTGGGGCCACATCTGGAGCTCTGTGTCCGGTTTTGGGCCCCCCACTGCAGAAAAGATATGGACAAATTGCAGAGTCCAGCAGAGGAAAACAAAAATGGTTTGGGGGCTGGAGCACATGATTTATGAGGAGAGGCAGAGGGAACTGGGCTTATTTAGTCTGCGGAAGAGAAGGCTAAGGGGGTGGGATTTAATAGCAAGCTTTAACTAGCTTATCTTACTGGGGTCCTTTGACCCCAGCTGACTTCCTGCCCGTTGGCATCTTCTGATGTCCCTTCCAGCCCTAATGTCTATGACATCTAGCTGAAGGGTGGTTTCAGGGAGGATGGAGCTGGACTGTTCTCAGTGGTGGCAGATGACAACAAGAAGCAATGGGCTCAGGGTGCAGTAAGGGAGGTTTAGGTTGTATAATTAGAAGAACTTTCTCACTAGAAGGGTGGTGAAGCACTGGAACCAGGTTACCCAGAGAAGTGGTGGTATCTCCCTCCTTGGAGGTTTTTAAGGCCTGGCTCAACAAAGCCTTGGCTGAGATGATGTAGTTGGGACTGGTTCTGC